GAACATATTATGAAGGTACTTCAAAAAGTTCATGGAAGAATGGAATTAAACAATAAGTGCAAAAAATTAAAACCCATACATGCACAGTTTTTTCATAATCTGTATTTTTCATGAAGTTTCTGAAACTCTTCACATTTATAATAAACTGATAGGAAAATAATATAACATATAAAAATCTGGAAAAAAATGAATGTGAAAAAATTTTTTAAAGTACAAAACATCTCTTGCAAGCTAATTTAAGATAGGTTGTATTTGTCCTCCTTGAATTTTTTTCTTGCTCTGGTCCAAACAGGCAGTCATGCTTTCAAATGTCCATTTTCAGAAGAGTTGTGTAGCTGGCTTAGTTTAAAAGTGAAAGCTGCTTATACTCAACATACTCTTTTTCTCTTTTGTAAAAGCCAAATTTATTCAAAGATACTATGGCAGGAGTCCACAACTGAGAAGGGAGAAATGGAAGCCAGAAAGAGAGCCACCAACTATGTCTGTTGGTTTTCAAATGTTCTAAAGGGCTTTTCTAGGCAGAAAGGACTGCAGAACTGCAAGTACTTAACAACAGTTGTGCCTTTAGTAACATCCAGTTCATTCAAGTGAATGTAAAGCTAGCTTTTCTTAATTCATTAAACACAACTTGGAAATCTAAGAAATTTACTTTATTGAGATTTTCTAAGTTATGAGATAGTTCACATTTACAAAATAAATGTATATATACAAGAGTCTTCAAACATTTTTTGAAAAATGCATATTATTAAAAAATTACACATGGATTTCCAACATTTTAGCACCCAAATAAACTTATCTTTTAATTCCATTTCTATGAACTTTCTGAAGCACCATCCTACGTGTGTATATGGACATATATAGTAATACATAAAATACAAATAAAATAGGGTTGAAATGATAATAAATACTCAGGTAGCCACCCGCTTAAGAATAGGAATGTTAATTTTGAAACCCCTAGGCCCATTCCTGATCACACCCTTTCTCTGCCACTTCTCTTCCAGAAATAACTAACCTATTTTATATTTGTGCTTGCATTACCCTTGCTTTCCACAACAGTTTTGTCTACATATGTGTTTATATATTCCTAAACCACACTATTTAGTTTTTCATGTTTTTGAACTTGAATGGTATTAAAATTTATGTTTGTCCATAATTACCTTTTTTAAAAATCCAACATTGTATTTTTAAGATTCTTCTAAGTTACTGTGCCTGGTTGTAGTTCACCCATTTTGCAATGCTGTATAATATTCTACAACTTGGATAACTAACAATATATATGTCCATCTTCTGACAATGGACATTTAGGGGAGCCAGAGCTATGGCACAGCAGGTAAGGCCACCACCTGCAGTGCAGGCACCGATGTGGCCACCAGTTTGAGCCCTGCCTGTTCCACTTCCGAACGAGCTCTCTGCTGTGGCCTGGGAAAGCAGTAGAAGACGGCCCAAGTCCTTAGGCCCTTGCACCCTCGTGGGAAGACCCGGAGGAAGCTCCTGGCTCCTGTCTTCAGACTGGCATAGCTCCAGCCATTGCAGCCAATTGGAGAGTGAATCAGCAGATGAAGGACTTCTCTCTCTCTCTCTCTGCCGTTCCTTCTCTTTCTGTGTAACTCTGACTTTCAAATAAATAAATAAACACTTTTTGTCTTTTTTTGCTATTACAAAAGAAGGCTTTTATAAACATTCTTGAACATACCTCTTAGTGTATACATGTAATAATATTTTTAGGGTAAATACCTATGAATTGAGTTGTAAGCTATTCCTAATTATGTTCCAAAGGATTCTATCATTTTATATTCCTTTAAGCAGTGTGGTCATTATCCTCCTCAACACTCAGTATAGTTAGACTTTTCATCATTACCAACCAACTGGGTGATAAATATGCTTTATAAATCTCATTAATTCTTTAATGAATGTTCAATTAATTAATATACTCAACACATTAAAATTCCTTAAACAGTTAACCTCCCATTTACAAATAAATTTGAGTATTATAACTATATTGACAAATTTAAGATATATGATTATCTGGGGCACTTCAAACCACTGACAAGGCAGACTCGCAATGTAACAAGCAAAATCTAGTTTTTATAACAATTATAAATCTAATGAGTCAAACGCATACATTTATCAAATCAAGGTTCTCTTAAATATTCAAGCACTATACAAATTTAAGTAATTCTCCTACACTTCTCAAATTAAAACCTTAAGTCTAACGAAAATTACCTTAAACTTTTCTGCCATAAGGAAATGTTAATTTTTGAGTAGTAGGTGTGTTTACCCTGATTGTATGAGCATATTGAGATATCACATGGTAGCCAAAAATATGTATAATTTTTCTATGACAGTTAAGAATTTTAAGTTAAGAATTTTAAGTATCTTGTAAGCTTTTAAATATAAATCAAGGCTAACAGATAAAATTCTCTAAATTTTCAAATACAGAAAATAACCAAAATAATAGCAACATTTACAAAGTTCATATCAAACTTAATCCACCATTATTTTGAGTTTGATTTACTTCATCATTACAAATTGACTTATCGCCGGCACCGCGGCTCACTAGGCTAATCCTCCGCCTTGCGGCGCCGGCACACTGGGTTCTAGTCCCGGTCGGGGCGCTGGATTCTGTCCCGGTTGCCCCTCTTCCAGGCCAGCTCTCTGCTGTGGCCAGGGAGTGCAGTGGAGGATGGTCTAAGTGCTTGGGCCCTGCACCCCATGGGAGACCAGGATAAGTACCTGGCTCCTGCCATCGGATCAGCACAGTGCGCCAGCCGCAGCACGCTGGCCACGGCGGCCATTGGAGGGTGAACCAACGGCAAAGGAAGACCTTTCTCTCTGTCTCTCTCTTCACTGTCCACTCTGCCTGTCAAAAAAAATAAAAAAATTTAAAAAAAAAATTGACTTGTCTAACTTGCAGTATATATATTCACAGCCAAGCTAATTCAGAGATGTTAAACTGCTTTATAGTTCATGGGTAAGAGATTTGAGTCCATAATCAATCCTGGATTTTACCACTAGGATCATTCTAGCCAAAGTTCTAAACCAATCCATGGGCCGGCGCCGCGGCTCACTAGGCTAATCCCCCACCTTGCGGCGCCGGCACACCGGGTTCTAGTCC